AGTAGCAGTACTAGTAGTAGTAGCAGTAGCAGTAGTAGTAGTAGCAGTAGTACTTGGAGGCCCTTTTGACTTAGTAAGTCTACTTAGTATCCCCCAGGAGCCCTATTATAATCCCCATAACCCACCTTACTAACCCTACTTACTAAGGCAAAAGGGCCTCCAAGTAGTAGTAGTAGTAGTAGTAGTAGTAGTAGGAGTAGGAGTAGTAGTAGTAGTAGTAGTAGTAGCAGTAGTAGTAGCAGTAACAGTAGTAGTACTAGTGGTAGTAGTAGTAGTAGCGGTAGCAGTTGTTGTTGTTGCTGCTGTTGTTGTAATAGGTATACTGTATACTAATGATAATCATAATCATGGTCTTTTCGATGCTTCAAGGATGCGCAGTGGCACGTCGTAGTGGAGGTCTCGTGGCTGCTTCTTGTTGCATTTCTCGCCCGGTCGCTCTCTCTTTCGGAACTGTGATGGTGTTGTTTTTTGTGGTTTAGGCTTCAGGCACTCCAACCGCTTTCTTCTCTTGTCTAGTCAGACTCAAGCTTGGAAAGCATCCAAGACACTTGTTAGTAAGCGTCGATATAGAAGTTTGGAGCGAGTCACGAATTTTATTCGTTAAGGGGCAGCTTGTTGACGAGATCTTGACGTACGTTGTGGGTTTTCAGGCAGGCTGGGCTGCTTACAGGTTGCAGCTTGAAGGATTGCAAATCTTAGTAGTGCTTGAGGCTTCGAAAGTTGAAGAGAGTCAAAAGTGGAAGCGACGGAGTGGGGCCTTCACCTGTTAAGTTAACATCTACGACCTTCAAGAAGGTGTTTAGTCCAAGCTCAACGTATCCTGTAGGTTCTCCTGTAAGCCGAAGCCACCTTGAGGTAAGCCTCCGGCTGATAAGGATGGGGACAGCCTGGGCCTTAGCTATGGCATTGCCGAGGATGGTTCTTTCGAGGTCCAAGGGTAGCCGAGGGTTTTAAAGCAAGCCTGGCTCCGAAAGTTCTGCTGCAACACCCAGGCACCGCCAGGTCATCCTCCAAGAAGAGCGTGTCGCAGAGCTGCATTATGAAGCTCGCTGTTTTCGACGAAACATGCGCAGTGGGCGTGGTTCCCATGCCATTCAGAGTTCAAGCATGCTCAAGCCAAAAGCGCAGCACAGGTCTGGAAAGAAGAAGAAGAAGACCAGCGGTGCGCCCCCAGCTGCTCATGCCGTTCGTTCGAGTAGTTTCTTTTTGCTTCGAAGCCTCTTGCAACGTCGTTTCCCCCAAAGAAGATACGTAAAAGCACTGCCAAACTAACATGGCGCCTTGTTTTTTTTAGAGCAGGGTTGTGGGGTCTATTGTGTTATTATTGGTAATTATGTAGGCTTCTATTGAGCAAGCAACCGCGTGTGGGACCTGAAAGACTGATGAACCTGATGCCATTGCGATTTGCTGCAGCCGCGAACTCTTAGCACCCGAGCACTACCCCGAAGAGCAGCCAGTGCGCAAGGGCTTGAGACTCGGAACTCTCCGGTAGAGGTCCTGCTAGGGGATTTCCCGAAACAAAAGCAGTGAGTCTTGAAGCTTGGCTTCTGTAAGCTTCCTGGAGATTGCGCCTGGCAGGCTGCTGCTGACGTCCTTCTGAATGCTCGCATCCGTGGTGTTGACATGTGCAGAGGCAGAATGAACATATCCATTTCTCACGAGCTCTGCAACTGGCCATGGCGATTAGACACCCCAATCCTGAACCCGCAGATCCCGAGCTCCGACTTCTTAGGCGCCGCCAAACCCAGATTCCTAGATGGGGAAGCTGCCCTGCACCACAAGTTGCGACCCAGAAATTCGATTGCCTGGCTCCCAGGCATGTATACGCACGAAGTGGCACAGTGGCATTCTCTGGGATCCAGAAAGCTTCCGTCAACTTCAGGGCTGTAGAAAATTCGTGCTGAGCTGGCGACTGCAGAAGACATCAAAGCTTTCACAGTCGCTTGCTTGTCTGGGGAATGTCGCCAGTCACCCAAGAGCTGAGAAGAACAGGATGGTCCCACAACTCTCAATGCTTGTTGAGTCACTACTGTAAGAGTTTAGACTTCGTTTCCTTAATACTGCAAACCCAGAAGAAGACACCTGCGAACCGTCAGAACTGTCGTCTTGCATTATTTCGCAGGTTGAGGAAGTGTTCGCATGTAATGCCGGATCTTTTCGCTCCACACCAGAGGTGTACAATGTATCATCCTGGGCTTCATATCAGCACGATGCATTAATGGCTACAACTATCGCGAACGGCTGTCGCAGTGCAATAAAACCGAAAACGGATCCGAATGCATCGGATGGTCTTACTGGGCGAGGCAAAGCATGGGTGAGAGCCAATTTGGGCGGGAGTGACGAAGTGCAAGGGTAAGTGAATGTGCGCGCGTCGTTGCGCGAACCTGTGATGCAGTGAGCTTAATGGAGAAGGAAGAAAGGGTGGATAGGCAGTCTAGAACGATCGGTGGTGCGGGAGCCAATCGTTTCAAAGTACTCGAAGGAATACGACCTCAGATAGATAGCGTGATAGCGTGTTGTGCTGCACGAATCTACTCTCATATTCAGTTTACTTGATTCCGTGTGGCAAGTGGAAAGCAACTATTTCTGTAGAGATGCCTCAAAATGGCTGCCCGGTAAGTGAGGTTGCTCGAAATGCTCGCTTTTGCTCAGTACCATTGGTTCCGTCCTTGGCTCAACTGATGAAAGCTAACACCCGAGGGTTCTAATTGCAGACATTGCCCGGGGAGTGGGGCGCAAATAAAGACTGAATATAGCGCAGCAGCAAAGAGCAAGACATTTACACGATGCTCAACCTGGCATTTCCTTACCATGCTTTGATCTACCCATCCCGTGCCTCCAATCATGGCAGAGATGGAGTCCCTGGCAGCCTTCTTCGTTCCAGTTTTGGGCTCAAGCATGTTCATCTTTGCAAAGTTCAAGCATCTGTTGGCAAGGTGGAGTTCTTGGAAGACTTCCTGACACCGACTTCGAGCTCAGGAATGTGCTTCCGGCATACATACGCAAGGCAGGAGCAGAAAGCAGTCAGAGGTGTCCCGAAAGATCCTCAGCAAACTCCAACTCTGCAAGCCGCCAGCCGCAGAAGCACCGCTCCGCACTCTGCTTTCTGCGCTTCGCGCGAGCACTTGTGCAAATGCCAGTGACGAAAATAGAGCATGAACGCATGAAATGTATTTATGTCTGTATGTATGCGCGTACGTACGTAATGTATGTATGTGTGCAGACCGTTTTTCGCCTGTTACCCAAATCCGTTGCCATTGTGAACTCTTTGGTGTAGATGTTCCAGCTTTGCTGCCGTAAGGCCCCAAATGATGTTACAGCATACCTAGAACATGTGGGGCATGGAAGCCTTACAGAACAACCTGAAGCGAGTTCTGGCGCCTAGACTTTGTCGGTGACGTAGACTAGTCCGACAACCCTAGCAACTCCCAGCCGGCTAGAGCGGAGAGCATTGTCAAAGATCCCAGCCAGCTAGGGGCAGAGCATTTTCCAAAAAGGGCCATCACTGGATCCAAGGGTCCAAATAGCATCGCAGAGACATGGCTCAAGATTTGCTAGGGCCGATCTTTTGAGCTCTCCCCCAGAGCCGGCGGCTGGGATTTGCCAGAGGGTTCTCGGCCGAAAATGCTCTCCATAGGCCATACTTGGTGGGCGATCTGTGCTCTTACCCAGAGCTGGCTCGGATTCACCAGGTTCGCTGGCCGATCATCAGTGGTCTCCCCCCATAGCTGGCTGGGGTTTGTTAGAGTAGGCCGCCGACCTTCGAAAAATGCTCCCCCATAGCTGGCTGGGAGTTGCTTGGATCAGCAACCGACCGTTTATGGTAGTGCTCTCCCCCAGAGCTGGCTGTGATTTGCCAGATCCCGTGCGTGAACTGAAGTGCTTGCTTCTAGGCTGCCTGTGCAGGCAGCATTGAAGCATGATTCGTAACATACACTGAAGCCAACAACCCTCTTCCATGGCTTGTTTCAGTATGTGCGCTAGCACGAGCTCTATGTAAATGTGGGGAGTTTGCATCATCTTTTGTTTCACAGCTACTTGGTTGGTGCTGGCTTTTCTGTTTTCCTCAAGGCGACCCCCAACTAAGCGCTGTCTGACAATCGTGTGTAAGAAGGTTTCTCGCGACAAGGCCTCCGGTTCAGCAGACACCCAAATAGCAGGTTAAATGGCCATGATGTTGTCCTGTGACCGCCTTTGTTTGCGGCTTGTGTTGAGTACGGGGGCGCATGTCACTAGGTTGCATGCTTAGCTAGGTGAGCAGTGTGACCACGACCTGCTTGCGAATTCGGGTGTGACAGCAAACCATGGGCTCCAGTGGCTTGAGCTGCCTGCAGCTTCAATCCAGGCTCTTACAGACATTTAACTGCTTGGATGCGCTTATGGCTGAGATTTTGCGCCACCCTCATAAGTAGCGGTAGGCTTGTCTCCTCAGCAACACGGTTTGACTTCAGTAACAAGTGCCACAGAGGCGCTTCTTTGGATTCAGCCTACGACAACATCACTCGCGCGAGTCAGCAAAAGTGCGGCGTGGGGATTTAAAGTGGAGGGTCACGGGGCTAACCTCACTGAATTTGCTCACTGCTGCTGCGTCCAGGCTCAGGAGGTGGCGTCTCCGAAGGATCAGCGGGCGGAAGAGGCCATGCATTGGCAATCGCCTTCCGAGGCAGAAGTTGACCCAGGGCCTCGCAGAACTAAACAGTCTGGTTCAGCAGGGAATGGATTCAACAGTACGTAGTGCTGTTGATCGGCTTGTGGCGAGTCCGGGAGAAGCCAGAGTATCTCTCTGATTTGCTTGCACACACAAATACACCAAGCTCGACTCTTTGTGTCAGCTTTGCTTCATATCGTCAGTCGGGGTTTCGCTCTGGCGGCCAGGACTTCCACGCCTGAACTCTGGCCAAAGCCTTGGCCGAGAAGCTGCTGGCAAACAGAGGTGTAGGGCCGCTCACTTCCCCCCCACTCCCGAGTCGGCTCAGACCAATAGTCTGAATTCTATTGTGCGTACAACGTTGCGTCGCATTCGCAGTGCTATGAACCATGCGCGCATGATGGAACTGAGGCCTGATGACCGAAGAAGCCTTCGTGATGGTGATGGAGATCGACCGGAGGCAATGCCCCGGTTGGGCATTCCGCCCCACTCTCTATAGTCTTCAGCTTTGATCATGTGTAAGCCACGCACTCAACGCCTTTCCGATTTCTGAAGACCCGCTGGGTGTAGCTGTCTCTGGCCTGCTCCCCGTGGCTTTGGGAGTCTTTTTGAATGGCACCCGCTCCCAACACGCAGCTGAAGGATCTCGTGCAGCTGGAAGAACAGTGCACGGAGTGGCAGGTGACTGCGAATCACAGGCCGCCTCAAAAACAGCAGCTGCTGAGCTTGTTGGACCAAGTACTAGCACTTTTCTTGCTTCTCTCAACGAGTGGCTGCAAGAACTAGACCTTTTTACGCCGGCTTGCCTCCTTGACGAGCTCGGTGGATTGGAAGAGCTGCTCGATTTGGTGAAGCAGCCTACGCTGCTCCTTCCCGAGCTCTCTGATCTGCAGCTTCAGGACTTGATCCCGCCCTCTGTCACAGATGGCCTTTGGCATCTCTTCGTTGACCGGGGAGTCGCACTCCTGAATGCTACCTTGCAAGATTTGTGCAGCCCTTTAAAAGCTTCAATGATCCACAGCGCCTCACTGGGCTTGTGAAGAACGCCTGGCAGCATGGAGTGCCAGGCACTGCGGCTCTTTTGCCGTCTCCTGCAGACTTTGCTCACAGAAGTACCCAGCGAAGTGCTGCAAGATGCTTGGAACCTTCTTGCAGTGTCAATCTGCCCCATCGGCGCCGAAGTCATGAGTGGGTCAGAGCATCCTTTCCTCCTAGTTTAGTTTGTTTCTTTCTTGAATCTCATATGCCCTTGATTGAGGGATGGTATTAACAATTCTCCAGCTTCGCTGCCATGCAGCTTTGTCGCTAGAGGTATTGGTCATATTATGCCTGTTTCCGACTTTGAGAATCACCCAGACTCATGTATCAATCAGATTGTTGTGTACTCACGGTACAGGGCTCGCAGAACATATGCACTAAAGTCAAATGATGCGGGTACTGTGCAGCACAAGTTTCTTTCAGAGGCCCCGCACGCATTGTGTCTAGCAAAGCGTGCACTTGCCACGTTTTGTACTGACACTCCCGCTTCATGATTGAAAAAGACCGCGAGAAAGCTGCAAGCTTCCTGTCGACCCCGTCCAAGGTGCTGTGTATCACCATTTGTCTGGTTCAGGGTAAGCCCGTGCTGTTCACATATTGACATGATCCGCAAGTCCATGTGTCCCACACGAGGGGCGACCTTGAAAACGGCACAGTTGCTGACGTGTGGCTTCCGTTTGGCCCGAGCAGCTCTGCCTGGCCAAGATTGCACGAGCAGCCTTCAGGCCTTCGACTCGGTTCAGGTTGTGCCTGCAGTTAACCTCTATAGAGTAGGTAACGTCCCAAATGACGCCTTTCGTTCCTGCAGAAACTCGAGCTTTCAGGGATTGTTGTGCTACTGGGGCAGGGTCTTGCCATCCATTCATTCCCAAGACCCGGGCAGGTCCGATCACACTCTGTTTTCCTGGCATGCTATGTGGCGCGAAGCCGGCATGGGGCGGACGCAAGGAAGCAGAGAGGCCCTCTTCAATTCATGGTGTGCTTTGCGTGCGCGCTGTGGAGCCACGTGTGGTGGAACCGCCTATAATATTCTAGAGTCTGTTCAATTTCAGCAAAGTTGGTGGCGATGCACGCGTATGGGCCATTTGGGGCACATGTTGCTCGCAGGAAACAGCGATTGCGAACGACAGATCATACTTGAGGCCTGTGCAGGCGGGTGGCACTATACTAGAGGTGAGCCGCAGCCTTCTCCTTGGAATACAGGGATTGCCCTAAAAGGCCGCACCTGGGCGAATAAGGTATGAAGGACTATATATGGATTTGTCGGTACCGGGTGTCTACTCTAAGCTTATTGGAATATTGACAGGAGCTTTGCTTCAGAAGTACGGCCATGATGTGGCCACGACTGTCAGGCATGCAGAAAGAACGCGATGCTTCAGGCTCGGGTGTTGAAGGGAGTTTTCTTGCAAGGGAAGCAAGTCGGGTCCTATCATGGCTTAGTTGCCGATCATGCCTGACTTGTTTGAGTTTTCGGTGCAGGTTTAAACATCGACATCTGTTGCGCGATTTGACGACCAAGCTAGTATTCCGAGCACCATCCGTCCTCGACCCAGATTCTGCTGCCTGAGCAACAGTTGAACTGGAGTTTATACCACTTAATCAATCTTAATGTTGTCTTGGCAGTTGGCTTGCAGTAAAGACCCCGCTCCCTGAGCTTACGCAAGGGCGGAGCGATCGGACAAAATAGAGAGCTAACACAAACCCAGAGAGGTAATCCGTAAATGTAAACCATCAATACGCTTGAAAAAGAACGATAACGTTTTTGGGGTTTAGGGATTTTGTACAGGGTTTCCGGTGTCGGAGGCTCTTTAAATTTTAGCCGCCAGCCTTGAAATTTCGCTGGCCTGAATCGTGCGAACTCCTCTCAGGTCTGGCTTGGTCATGACAAGAACTACAACGCCCCTTGCTTGCAACAGAGCCCCAATGGTGCCACCCGTGCCCACGGGTCTTTGGACTTCTGCTGTTATGATGCACTCCAAATTTACGTTGTTCTGAGGTCGGATTGTGGAAACCTGCAGGCATCTGCGTTTATGGCTGCGATGTTGCGCCGGCAAAAAGTAGTGGTAGGCTTGTCTCGAGGTTGAGTATGAGGTTCCGAGTGACATTGCCCGGCTCAACCTTCTCAATGGGCTCCGCCGGATTCTTCTCCCAGCATGCCGCCTTTCCCTTGGGCTCCGGGACGGCAAAAGCCTTGGGTAACCCGTGCACGGAGGGCTCGGTCTCGGCTCTTGGGTCTAAAGGTGCTCTTGCGCAAAGAGATGGTGACCACAGAAGAATCGCTTCCAAGAGGCCAACATAGCGACGACTCTCTGCCACGTTTCCCCGACGTCCTGCCACTCCAAGTTGGGGCTCTTGGGATTGGGACTCTGTCATCTCAGTACTCTCGCCTCGGACTGCGTGGTCTAGAGTCCAGGCCTGAGCGCCTCGCCTTCCCCTCTCAGAGCCGGCTACTCTCCGTGGGCCCCCCCGCCGGGTTTGTGTGGTTGAGAAAACTATAGGCCCAAGAGTCGAATTTCATTCATTCGAGGCCCGGAGCCTCCATAGGGTATAAGACAAGATGAGCTGAAAGCGATCGCTTTTGGAATCGACGC